CATATGATCGCAGACGATCGCAGAACTTTTTGCGATCTGCGATCCGCGATCGTCTGCGATCATATGGAAACCAGCCTTTAAGCAAAACTTCGTATTTGTCAGTGGTGAGCAAATCGATTATATACCGAAGTCAAAGGCCGAGGCAAATAATTGATCCGCGAGACACTGACAAATGATGATACTTTGCGATAACAGAGTTCAATATCTGTTTTATTATTCGATCACCAAGTTTGTTTTCATATTGAAATCACTCTCTGACAGCTTAGGGAAGCGACCTGCTATTTTTAACACAAGGTCGTTGTTACCATTACGCATGAGCAAAATATCATTTGCAGCAAAATCAAGTTAGAGGGTATTACGCATGGGCATTTTGTTGGCAGGTTTTTGCAGGTCACGAGGTGCGCTCGCAGCCAATGAAAAGGAAGAAAAAAAATGCATCGAATGGTAACCACCCGTTACGCAACGCTTTCGAGTGGTGTCCCATGTTATAGAAAATACAGTGGCCAACACAACCTATGCGAAAAACGTGCAATGCACCATGGGAAGGCTAGGTGTAATACCGTCGAATGTACAACGGTTTTCCTGTATTTTGATTGCCTGTATTTTCTATGGCATGGTGTAAAGATTAATAAAATGTCTAAAGCTCAGCAAAGTTATGGAGGGCTTCAAGATTGAATTGCTTTCTTTAACCTTCTTGACCAATTTAGAGCGGAAGCTTCGTTTTGGAGGCATATTGACAGGGGCGAGGGTTTTACAGACCGGAGAGGATGACGGACAGCGAGAAACGGGTGTGACTTATTTTCGTGCTTAACCACAAGAAACGGAAATGAAAATGGTTGCAATTTCATTGAGATTAATAATCTGCAAATTTGACAAATTTACCTGATTAAATACGCTATTGTCTAGTCGAGAGCTACATCAAAAAAAAACTCTACAACCCCAAATGAGTACTTTTTTTCTCAGCATAAAACTAGAAATAAACATATTTTTATTTTAAAAACGTATACAGCAAATTTTGCTTCTTTTACAAATCCAGTACTGTTGCATACATAAACGAGACTACGAGACAGACGTGTCGTAGAAAATACTAGATCTGTTACAAATGTCAAAAGTAAAACCTGTCTCGCTCAATGTTGCCAATACAAAACCTGTTGGAAGTAGAGAAAATCAGCCTCTGACTGAGCTAGCAGTTCATTATGGCGTGTGAAAATACCATCACCTAAAACAGGACTAAACCACAGGCCAGGTCGCTAAGCAACAAGACGACTTTACGACGTCACGCTATGCTGACGTGGCAACTTTTGAAGTACTCGCGAGAACTCGTTGCATAAAAGAATCATAGAGGAAGTACCTAAAGCGGATATACCACATAACTTGACGGTCTGTCGTTGCCCATGTCAAGATGGTGAGAGGAGAAAAACAAAGCATAACTCTTCAGGTGCACAACAAGAAATTCTCAAACACCGCAAGATCCTCCAAGCTTGCCTGCTCTAAAAACGTCATATTTGCACCGTAGCTTTCTCATACAGTCATTTATTGAGAACAACGTTCAATAAATCTACGTTCCTTCCTTGTCGAAATTCGAGATTAGCGAGACGGTCTTCTTCTGTCATCTTTAACTTCTTATTTCTTGGCCTTTAACCACGGTTTTACAGCGCTATACCTGACCCTCAAAAGTTGAGACCGAAGATCGCCAATTCGTAACCAGTTCTTAACTATTAAGGTCGGCATGTCTAATTTCATAGTTAGTCGTAGAAGTCGTAGAAGGCCATTCTCTTACTCGACCAACCTAAGCTTTAACAAGGCTATGTTTCTTCTACTGACCACAAATCCAAACAGATCAACTGTCTCTGTCGGCCAGTTAATGACGTGTAAAGACGTAGATGAAGAAAAATTTCACTAAGCAAGTCCAAAGCCCGTTGAGCACTCCACAGCTTGGCTGAGTTTTGTTTTCATAACTTTTTGGGTTGGGTATCTCGGTAAATCCAGCAAATTAAAACAGGTATGAGCCACAGGGAGGTGATCTCCACGCTCTCCACCAGCCACAGATTGAATTATGATCTGTGGAAATAAATAAGCACAACATACAGCTGTTAGATTGGGATTCCTGTGGCCTGTTCTTCAAAGCAGGATACCAGCAATAAGTATAGTTATAAAGCAACTGGGGAATTTCTCTATGACATAACCTGCGGTGTTGTACAAGGATTTCCAACCCTGAGAAAAGCCGTACGATAATTTTTGACCGTGATGATATCGATGACGTAATGTTTGATGTCATGTNTGTATTATTCTCTATTTACAACAGTGATACCTTCATGGATTTCATTCCCAAAATTGGCACTCTGTCACTTCCTGTCAAGAACGCTACAAGAACAAACAGATTGTCAATACAGCTTTCCTTAACAATTTGTGCAATTACTAGTCTATCTTCCTTTAGTAGCATTCCTTAATTTCAAATAAATACCAAGCTAAAATTTGTTCAGTGTTATTGGAGGAATTTTTTTACAAGGGCTTATTTACTTCACTACATACTACTAACATACCAAGGAACTTTTTCTTCATGACAATCGGGAAGTCAAAAAATACTTCCCAGAAGTTTCTGATCACTGGGTGATACTTGTGGTACTCTCCTTTATACTCAGCAACCTGAGAAAAAAATATGAACAAAGCTCTTCTTTTACAAGGTTAAGGTGAATCAAGTGGGATGAGGAAGGACAGGGGGAGAGGGAGCGAGGGGGCAAAGGGTCGAAGGGTTTAGGGGATGAAGGATTGAGGGGGCAAAAGGATGAGGGGTGAAGGGGCTAAGGCGTGGGGGCGGGAACGAAGGGGCGGGGTGGACGAGGGGGAGAAGGAACCGAGGGAATGAGGGGGTGAGGGAGCAAAAGGGCGATAAGACATTGGGGCAATGGGCAAGGAAGAGAGGTGATGTTCAAAAAAGCGGAAGGGAGGAGGTTATGGGAGCAGGGGAGAGTGGGACGGAAGGGTTAAGATGAGGACAAGGAATGTATAGATTTAAGGGTGCTTCGTTCAATGACCTCATTGTCGAATCTAACAATTTTCTACGCCCTGTACTTAACCTGGGCATATCGACCTATCCTCTTCCTCGTGCTCGGAACAAAATACTGAACATTTTCTCGTTCTTCTGTTACCTGTTCAAGTTCTCTGAAGTCATAATCTTGACATCCAACCACCATCTGCATAAGCTCCTCGGGGTGAAAAAACTCCTGGAACGTTAACAAAATCAAAAATCAGCCAGGCTTTATTCAACTGTCCCACTCTGAAAATTTCCTTGTTCCATCAAAATAATTTTGCCGTCATTTTTTTCAACATGCTTTGCTTTAAATCCTGAATATCAGATGTCATATTTCTGCACAACGGAAGGGTAACAGGTCACAGTTTATTGTACAATGTACACTTACCAAGACTTTTCCGCCACACACACGGTGAAATCCTACAGAAAAAGCCTCAAATTGCTTTTTTACTGACTTGTTCAAGTAGTAGTCGATGTATACTTCCACATACTGCTCTCTTAAAACAAACAAAGCAGGCTCGTTTAACACAACTACATACATACATACACAGACAGACAGACAGACAGACATACATACATCCTTTATTATCTTTCCCCACGGGGGCTTTTCGAAGACAATATGGTACAATACTACAATTAAATACTAATACACTAAAATTAATAATATTACATTCTAATTTAGATAATCACGAATTTAAAAACTCTACAATTAATTTACGTTTCAATGCTTTTTTAACAATTGAAATAGTTCTACTGAGTTCCGCTGAGAACAACTCAGTTCAATTTGTGAATTTGTGCTGACTAATTGTATGGAAGGAATTCAGAGCCACCAAATATGTCAAATATTTAAGGTGGCTCTGAAACCCTTCTGTATCAACGAATGAGAATTGAGACCTCTGGAAAAAAGACCCTGCATTAGTTTCAGTGGTTATTCTCTAGATTTTTAATTATTGAATATTTTAGAGGGCCACAAGTTTATTAGTTGTATAACTATTAGGTGTTTTACCCTCTATAAATAAAGATTGATTGATTGATTGACGTTCAGAGCTGTTAATGAACTTGAACGCATCTGAACAATCAACCGGAAGCAAGATTTTTCGGTTCGTCTAGTCACCGTCGGTCACCGCTGTCTGAAAGCGCACGGGCTCTGGGGACAAAACTGTTGATTGATCAGAGAATAAGAACTGGAAACCGTTACCAGCCACATTAACATTCAACACTGAAAGCTAATGTTTAAAAATAACATTGTACCTGTTTTCAAGTGTGACTGCAGTGTTCCCACCATCTGGAATCAGATCAATGTATTCCAGTACTCCATATTTCTCGCGGACAATCTATACGAAAAAAGACACAACACATTCCACAATGAGTTTTTATTCTCTCATAGCAGCTGATTTCACTTTTGATGGCTGTAGTTAAAATCTGTGGCCACTGAGGTGTCAGTCCTCAGCACCAAGTGAAAACACTGCAACCTGACTAAACGATAAGTCAATTAACTGATCAAAGGGACTCAATCACAGTATTTTGAGTTACTAAGAGGGACTGCTTGAAGTCTTAATGTAGTACTCTGCTAACTTGGTCTGGTGCACACGTGTCCTGGTTAAATCAACCAATGTCGAGCTAGAAGAAGAGTACAGATTTTAATAACTTGCCTGAAAGGTCAGTCCTAACGTCTCGGAAATGTCCTCTTCTTCATCATACTCAAGTAAATTCTCAAGATTTCTGTACGATAAATATAAAGAAAACAACAATGTATAATAACACAATAATCGGATTGGGTTTGGTGAGTTACAAAATAATCAGATCAGATTTGGGTTGAACACACTTAGCTCTCCGTTATAGTTCAATACACTAGCATTGTATAATTGTAATGCCAATCTGAGAAAGACATTGAACAATTCCTAAAACTATAATTTGTCGAATTTTCCCACACAGTAATAGTAATAACAGTACTCAAACGAAAGACCTTCCACATGCCAGTCATAACTGTGAAGGACCCGCCTCACACGGGTTCTCACTGCACATAGAGACAATATTATTTTTAAGAGTTGAAATTTAAAATAAAATTGACTCCTGCCACATACACCTGCAGGGAAATTCACCCGCCATATGATATCTCTGTAAGAATCGCATGCAATAACTTCTTTCTATCAACTTATTTTTTAGGCATGTCTACGTAAGCTATATGGTGGCCATTATTTGATCTTCGTGAACAAATAAAGTATGCATGATAACCTGGCAACAAGAGGTTTAAAGCCTCTGAAGTCATCAAGATTCGGTTTCCTGAAATAAAACAAAAGCACAAATTACTTATACTCTTCGGCTGATAACTACACAAATAAGGAGTAAGAATGGTACCTACAAAAAGATATCACTAGAATTCGAGGTGTCTAGGGAAAGCCAGGGAAAGCTAATCCATTCGGCCAGTTTGAGTAAAAAGTAAACTTTCCATAAATTATGAGATCATAACATGACCAGCTCCCAGTTGGCTTGATATCTCAGTTGGTGGATCACCGCAAAGATGCCACGGAGGTCATGGGTTCGAATCCCGTTCAAGCCTTTGTTTTACAACTGCCTAAGTTACAGACGACCTCTCAAGTCTTCAGAGTCAAGCGTCTTGTCCAAAACCAGAATGCACTGACCACGAGCAGCGTTTGAACCAGGACAACTCAGTCACACTACTCCAATGCGCTAGTCATTAGCTATAGACCACTGTGGTTGTCATACCCTAGGCTTTTCAAAACCTGCACGCTGATAAACTAGCAGCATTAACCTACCTGCCTAACAGCTTCTTGTACAAAACCGGAGGAAATCTGAGATCGATGATAGTTGAATTGTAGATTGCCAGTCCACAGATAACACCAATCAACAAAAACATTGGACTCTCCTCAAATGTCTATAACAAAAAAAGAACAACAACAACAACAAAAAAACGAGTAGAAAATGCCATAAACGTTTGAAAATTAAAAGAAAACAAATAAGAACTAAGACTTTGTCACAGTATATTTTCATGCCTAACACAATACAATGCCAACTTTTTTTACTTCTTCGTGTGCAACTTTAAAAGATCATGATATCCTGAAATATGAGAACTTCCCTGTCCTGAACACTTCTTTAAAGAGATGAGGAGCGCCCCTGTCCTCCCCTCCCCTCCCAGAATCAAACTAGAGGACCAAGACACGAAGACTGCAAGCCTAGCGAACTATACACAATGACATACTGCTTTAACATACCGTGTCGTTGAACCAGATGGTTTTGGACTCTTCAATATAAGTGAACATGCCAAATTTTGGATCTAAAATCTCAGTCAGGAGCAGCATGAAGAATTCCTAAAGAAACCAGAATTAAATTATCAGGAATTGCCTAACAGCACCCCCCGGGGGTATTCCAATAAAAGGAGACTCCGCTGAAAGGGGTATCTTTCCTGCCAAAATGGTATATATAGGGTAATTAAAAAAGGGGGATTGGACCTCGGGGCAGAACCTCCCCATATAAAAGTTTGTAGAGTACCCCCTCCCCCCGGAGACAGCACATTGAACAAGTACTCTGGGGAAGCAATACAATATTACAAGGATGGAAGTTGAATAAAGTTCACTAAATTCAATTTTGTGACAAGAAGCCAAGAACTCAAAATTGCCATTCGAATGAAATTTTGAATCTTTGAACAGTTATATTTTGTTTTGGTTGATTTGTTTTCCTTTCATCTATAATGGCGTTGTTTATCTTCCTTCTATGGCGTGATAACAAAGCAGGTTTATAGCAAACACCAGCCATACTTATTAAAACACGGTACATCAATCAGAACACAAGCAATTCGACCCTATATCTGATAGAGTGCAAACATTGCAATTTTCCTAGCAGGACACTTTACCTTTCTAACGCCACCAGCATCGACACCCTCCTCACCATAAAACACAACCTGTAAAAATACAAATGCCAACAGAAATATAAGCGAACCAAAATTTCTAATGACAAAAATTAATCTGCTGCACAAAAGGTCTCTTTTAATCTCTTATTTTCTGATTTTTACTGGTGCCTCTCCCAGAAAATGGCTGTGAAAGGTGTGAAAGCACCTTTTTTCTGTCGTATTTCTCAGCCCTACATGGCTAATTTTTTCCTCGGGCCTTATTTTGCTGAAGATTCGGGAATTGGGATCTGTAGTATACAGAAAAGAATGCAAATTGCACTGTGCTCAACAAGGCTTGGAATTGGTTACGTTTTCAGAGTCCCAGCAGCACCCCCACCCAAAAATCTACTGTGTACTCCCCTCTGGGGGAAGCAATTAAGGAGCCAATCATGTCAGGAATAATAACTTGATCCAAAACTAAATTCCTCTGAGATGAATTGTAGGGAATGAGTGAACACTATTAAAGAGAATCTGTACCTTGAGAGGCTTTTTCAAGTCACAAGGACCACACTTCATGATCTGATTCAGGGTGTTGTCCACGATGTTCTCTCTCTTGACCACAATGACAAGTACAGGGTTGTCCGGGTTTATTGGCAACAGGGACATCATTGATTGAACATTGCGGCGATTCACTTCCTCTACAGCACTCTACAGAAACAGAAAACAAACCATACACTGAGACTTTTGTAAAATATAACAAGAGTGTATATTTTACACAAAATGAATGGAGGAACCCCGCCCTACGGTCGCCTCATTATTACGGTCACTTTTTTTGTCCCAGCAAAACGTCCATACATTCTCTTATAAAAAAACCCCGTTAGTGCGGCCTATGGCTACATTCCGAAATCTCAACCATGTATAATCCTTTATAATTTAATCCCGTTTCTACAGCCACTCAAACCAGTTATGTTCATCTTTCCATTGTAATATTGTATGTACTGATTCGAGTTTCATTTTTTTTTTTTTGAAATTCTATCTGTATTCCAGATGCTTATTAAAGAAGAGTTGCTTGGAAGTGCAATTTTGATGTATCTGTTAAGACGTCACTCAATGAGGTTTGACCCTACCCCGTTAGTACGGCCACCCAGTTAATATGGCCAATTGTCATGGCCCTTTGGTGACCGTATTCACGGGGTTCTATTGTATATGAAAGATCAAATATTTGAATTGTGGAATAAAAATTTGGAGACATCAAAGATCACCGCAGGCTTGAACACAACTTAAACAGTCGCGAAAAGAAGAACTGAGCAAGATTCAAGCTTGAACGGGATTGAACTACCAACAATGATACCAGTGCAGTGCTCTACCAACTGAGCTATCATATTGAGCTGGTCGTGTTGCGAGTTCGTAACAAATCGTTATCGATGGAAAAATTGATAAAAACTAATTACAATTTGCCCTTCCTTCAACAGTTCACTCAGTACCTTCACCCTGCTGTTCTTGAATCATTTTGTGTAGTTGTAAGTGAAGGTACTCTGACACTATTTTAGCACCGTTTTGACCAAACTGCAGTAAAATTGCTGTTAGTAATAGTGTCGCGGCTTACCATTTGACTATTGGCTTACCTGCATCTGCATTACAGCATCTGTTTGAAGCAGCGTTGTTTTGGCTTCAGCGTCAAAAACAAATGGGTAGCGACAAAATGAAAATGTTTGCTACAAGAGACAACGACAAAGCAGTGTTATTCATCTCACTTTTTATTTCAGCTTGATATCAGGTTTGGTGGAGTAACTAAGAAGGACAACTAACAGTCATTTCCAAACAGAAAAATCAATTTCCAGTTTGACTTTACGTCTGAGGGCCGGAAAGCCTTGAAAGTAAACTGCTGCGGTTTCATCTCCTCAGCTACTTGATCNTAAACTGTTTTACAAAATGCAGGGCTTTTAGCGATGAATGTTTTCAACAGAAGGGCAACCGGGTTTCACAGGCAGGCAAAACCTTTTGAACTGAACTTCTTTATAGGAAAAACTTTTCTCTAGATGGTCAAACCAGGCAGGCAAAATCTTACTCACAGCCGGTCAATTTGCCCAGTGCCAGGCACTTAATGAAACTCCTGCAAAACATATGACCTATAAATTATACTTAAGGTTGGTGACAGGGTAAATGAAAAAGAGCTAACATAGGTCATGTGTGGAGCTAACATAGGTCATCTGTTCATTGCTTATACAACTAGTGAATGGAATCTGATAGCACAGTACAATACAATGATAACGCCAAGTTGTTCTGTTAACCTTGTCCACTGCCACTTGACAATGTATGGATAAATAAGTAAAGTTAATATCAGATATTGATTACCCTCAGTGTCATTCAAACTGACCTTTGTTGTCATTGACTCCAAGTTGACCAAAGCTGCAACAGAAAATTGTACAGTTTTAACTCCATGATATTCACCCAAGAGAGCAGGGGGGGCTTTCCATTTGACCAAAACTTCTGGTTTGAAATTCAAGGATGTCTTTTACAAAATTTCCAAAGGGCCATGAACATGTGACCATATTAACAAGGTAGGGCCAAATTTCATGACTTTGGTCTATTAAGTGATGTTTTGATATATCAAAATTGCACTTCTAAGGATGTTACAGGATGGAATTTCAGAATGTGGCCATTGGCCGTATTAACGGCCAGCTGCAGGGTTTCCTTATAACAAAAAGTTTAGGCATTTGGCCACGAGAAATAAAGTGATCATAACAACAAGGTGACCGTATTAACAAGGCAATGGTAAGGCGGGTCTCCACTGTAGCTCATCAGATGTTTTACAAATTAGTAACTTACTTGTTCCTTCCCCAACTAAACAAAGCTCCAGAGAGGGACAAGGCAAAGCTATGGTATCCGCCAGCACATAACAAAGCAAACGGCACTCCAAACAATGACGACACATGTTCTGGATGGTAGTGCACTGGACTTGAGTTGCTGATTCCAAGTTGGCCATTCTTATTGTCACCCCAGGCAAAAAAGAATCCACCTAAGAACAAACATACAGAAAAGAGTTTAATAAATAAATAATGATAATAATTAATACTAATTTTTTTATTATTCTTAATAATAATAATAATAATAACAATAATAATAACAGTAATCAATATTTAAGGCACTTTTAAAGTGCATATTAAAGAATGGCTGACAAAGATATTTTAGGCTTAAAAGTATTCACACTAAAAAACCTTTAACATTGATTTCTTCTTTCTGAAACTTTCACCACAGTTAGATAATTTATATAGAACCCACGTCAAAAATAAAAAAAGAACACAAGTTCTAAATATTGGCCTTGTTTACTGGATAATTCGTTCCAATGTCTGTTAATCTAAACAGACTACAAATAAATTACTGAACAGATATGCAACTACCAAAATATTTTTTAAATGGGTCTATGGAGAAAATTGACACAAATGGCATGATAATCATTTGAAGCAACCAGTCATTTGCACTGATGTGACAGCTGCATTATAAGGGATTGGATTTGATGCTCTATGAGTAAAATTCTGGAAATTTTAAGACTTTCCACTTGGATTTTATTTAGTCATTTTTGTTATAAACTGTCTAGAATAAGAGAGAGTTGCATACTGGATCCATCTGAGAAAGAAAACTACAGGGGAAATCAATGCAACCAGTAACAGCCCTTTTCTTGTTGGTGCATGGCCTATTACCCTCAGGGGGTCATGGTATAAAGCAAAGTGGGCTACTGTGCAAACCTGATGTATGACATGGTGTGTCTTTGCATCGTAATTTAATACAAAAAGATTCAGAGCATTCCTGTGTGGTCACATATGTACAATGTAACTATCACCTTACCTGGGAAAGTTCTCAGTTTAATACTCTGACTTTACGTCATGTTTTTTCTTGCAGTAAAACATTTTCAGAATGGCGAACAAACACAATGTAAGAAATAAAACATTCACCTGTTGTGAGTGCTAGTGAATGCCTTGCTCCACAAGCCACTTGAGTTATTATCACACCAGCAGACTGAAGGTTCTTCACAATTCTAAATAATAACGTACACATAAAAATTTAATTTAAATAAATGTAAAAAAGAAACAAGCTCATCAACCATTCTTCAGGCTAGGTACTGTAATCCAAGTCATATATTATATGACCTGGCTGTTTCTGCACTCTGATAATAGTTTACAAGTGTAAAAAAAAATTACAAACAAATTTAACAAATACAGTCAAACCTCCTGTGAGCAACCACATAAAATGTCAAGCCCAGGTGGTCGCTAATGAGAGCTTAGACCATATTGAGTCAAAATTTTGCCTCATTAATGAAGCATATGGTTACTGCAGAGACTTACATCAAGCAAAAAGTCAGTTCTGAGAAAAAATCTGGTACTTCCCATTGAGAAGTTTCCGTCTCTTGTACAATCCAGAAATACAATAATGTTACATCACCTTATCCAATTTTTGCTCTGTTATCTGTCAAGTGGCATGGTCACTTACAGGACGTTAAAAACAAAAGAAAATTCAAACTTTTAGCTTTTAAAAGTGGTCACAGTCGCTTACGAGAGGTGGTCGCTTACAAGAGATTCCAAATATAGGGATTTGACTTTGACACTTTTGGTATTTAGGAAAACTGAGGAGCGGTGGTTGCTTACAAGAGGTGGTCACAACTGGAGGTTCAACTGTAATTACAAACCTTGGATGAGTCTGAATGTTGTTTTCCATGTTTCCCAGACCAAGCTGTCCTTTTGTGTTATCCCCCCAAGCCAAGATAAGTCCATTGTCTGTGACAGCCAAAGTGTGCATCTGTCCACAGGCCACTTGCTTTATAGTACGTGTTTCAAGTGCATCAACACGAGCTGTGAAATAATCATTAGACAGAGCTTCACATTAAATACCTAAATCCCACATGAAAGCCCCCCTATCATATGGAGTGGGGTGGCCTCATGGTTAGTGCGCTCATCAAAGGAATGAGCGGTCTGGGTTTGAGTCCTGGCCAGGGACACTGTGTTGNACAAAAACATTGGACTCTCCTCAAATGTCTATAACAAAAAAAGAACAACAACAACAACAAAAAAACGAGTAGAAAATGCCATAAACGTTTGAAAATTAAAAGAAAACAAATAAGAACTAAGACTTTGTCACAGTATATTTTCATGCCTAACACAATACAATGCCAACTTTTTTTACTTCTTCGTGTGCAACTTTAAAAGATCATGATATCCTGAAATATGAGAACTTCCCTGTCCTGAACACTTCTTTAAAGAGATGAGGAGCGCCCCTGTCCTCCCCTCCCCTCCCAGAATCAAACTAGAGGACCAAGACACGAAGACTGCAAGCCTAGCGAACTATACACAATGACATACTGCTTTAACATACCGTGTCGTTGAACCAGATGGTTTTGGACTCTTCAATATAAGTGAACATGCCAAATTTTGGATCTAAAATCTCAGTCAGGAGCAGCATGAAGAATTCCTAAAGAAACCAGAATTAAATTATCAGGAATTGCCTAACAGCACCCCCCGGGGGTATTCCAATAAAAGGAGACTCCGCTGAAAGGGGTATCTTTCCTGCCAAAATGGTATATATAGGGTAATTAAAAAAGGGGGATTGGACCTCGGGGCAGAACCTCCCCATATAAAAGTTTGTAGAGTACCCCCTCCCCCCGGAGACAGCACATTGAACAAGTACTCTGGGGAAGCAATACAATATTACAAGGATGGAAGTTGAATAAAGTTCACTAAATTCAATTTTGTGACAAGAAGCCAAGAACTCAAAATTGCCATTCGAATGAAATTTTGAATCTTTGAACAGTTATATTTTGTTTTGGTTGATTTGTTTTCCTTTCATCTATAATGGCGTTGTTTATCTTCCTTCTATGGCGTGATAACAAAGCAGGTTTATAGCAAACACCAGCCATACTTATTAAAACACGGTACATCAATCAGAACACAAGCAATTCGACCCTATATCTGATAGAGTGCAAACATTGCAATTTTCCTAGCAGGACACTTTACCTTTCTAACGCCACCAGCATCGACACCCTCCTCACCATAAAACACAACCTGTAAAAATACAAATGCCAACAGAAATATAAGCGAACCAAAATTTCTAATGACAAAAATTAATCTGCTGCACAAAAGGTCTCTTTTAATCTCTTATTTTCTGATTTTTACTGGTGCCTCTCCCAGAAAATGGCTGTGAAAGGTGTGAAAGCACCTTTTTTCTGTCGTATTTCTCAGCCCTACATGGCTAATTTTTTCCTCGGGCCTTATTTTGCTGAAGATTCGGGAATTGGGATCTGTAGTATACAGAAAAGAATGCAAATTGCACTGTGCTCAACAAGGCTTGGAATTGGTTACGTTTTCAGAGTCCCAGCAGCACCCCCACCCAAAAATCTACTGTGTACTCCCCTCTGGGGGAAGCAATTAAGGAGCCAATCATGTCAGGAATAATAACTTGATCCAAAACTAAATTCCTCTGAGATGAATTGTAGGGAATGAGTGAACACTATTAAAGAGAATCTGTACCTTGAGAGGCTTTTTCAAGTCACAAGGACCACACTTCATGATCTGATTCAGGGTGTTGTCCACGATGTTCTCTCTCTTGACCACAATGACAAGTACAGGGTTGTCCGGGTTTATTGGCAACAGGGACATCATTGATTGAACATTGCGGCGATTCACTTCCTCTACAGCACTCTACAGAAACAGAAAACAAACCATACACTGAGACTTTTGTAAAATATAACAAGAGTGTATATTTTACACAAAATGAATGGAGGAACCCCGCCCTACGGTCGCCTCATTATTACGGTCACTTTTTTTGTCCCAGCAAAACGTCCATACATTCTCTTATAAAAAAACCCCGTTAGTGCGGCCTATGGCTACATTCCGAAATCTCAACCATGTATAATCCTTTATAATTTAATCCCGTTTCTACAGCCACTCAAACCAGTTATGTTCATCTTTCCATTGTAATATTGTATGTACTGATTCGAGTTTCATTTTTTTTTTTTTGAAATTCTATCTGTATTCCAGATGCTTATTAAAGAAGAGTTGCTTGGAAGTGCAATTTTGATGTATCTGTTAAGACGTCACTCAATGAGGTTTGACCCTACCCCGTTAGTACGGCCACCCGGTTAATATGGCCAATTGTCATGGCCCTTTGGTGACCGTATTCACGGGGTTCTATTGTATATGAAAGATCATATATTTGAATTGTGGAATAAAAATTTGGAGACATCAAAGATCACCGCAGGCTTGAACACAACTTAAACAGTCGCGAAAAGAAGAACTGAGCAAGATTCAAGCTTGAACGGGATTGAACTACCAACAATGATACCAGTGCAGTGCTCTACCAACTGAGCTATCATATTGAGCTGGTCGTGTTGCGAGTTCGTAACAAATCGTTATCGATGGAAAAATTGATAAAAACTAATTACAATTTGCCCTTCCTTCAACAGTTCACTCAGTACCTTCACCCTGCTGTTCTTGAATCATTTTGTGTAGTTGTAAGTGAAGGTACTCTGACACTATTTTAGCACCGTTTTGACCAAACTGCAGTAAAATTGCTGTTAGTAATAGTGTCGCGGCTTACCATTTGACTATTGGCTTACCTGCATCTGCATTACAGCATCTGTTTGAAGCAGCGTTGTTTTGGCTTCAGCGTCAAAAACAAATGGGTAGCGACAAAATGAAAATGTTTGCTACAAGAGACAACGACAAAGCAGTGTTATTCATCTCACTTTTTATTTCAGCTTGATATCAGGTTTGGTGGAGTAACTAAGAAGGACAACTAACAGTCATTTCCAAACAGAAAAATCAATTTCCAGTTTGACTTTACGTCTGAGGGCCGGAAAGCCTTGAAAGTAAACTGCTGCGGTTTCATCTCCTCAGCTACTTGATCCGGCCAATGAATAAGCTACTGAAAACACTTCTTGCAAAAAATTTCGAACGTTTATTTCTCGGACACTTTTGATCTCATTTCAGACAGATTTCGAACAAACATTTCGGACACTTTGTTGAAACATAGCTGAAGTAAATTTATGCAAACAAAACACGTCTTTTGCTGCACCCTCAAGGTTTTACAGATTCATGCACACTGACAGGAAAATAACCCAAATTCTTGTACTAAGCCGTTACATATCTCAAGTGGTGTGTCAACTAGAGTTCAATTCGCTCCATAATGGAAACTAAGAGTTTTGGAGCAACTTAAAAATTTTATGCTGTACTGTAATATTTCGAACCCTTAAAGCTTCGAACTCTTAAATATTTCGGACGGTTTTATTTTCGGGCACTTTTTGAGTCCAAAATTAAAATCGTCCGAAAATTTTTTTACAAGTAAACTGTAGACTGGGTGTTATGTTGTAGCACGTGTCTGGCGTTCTAGGATTTAGTAATCCAACAAAGAAATGTAATAGGATAAAATGATTTGTAACAGAGATTGATTTGACGTGAAGGGAAGCAAATGGGAGACTCTCCACCCAACCCACTCTGTCACATTCAAACCCACAATGTTGAGCAAACAAGCTTTTGATAATCAAAGGCCTACCACTTGATAGACGTGGCGCCAAAAATCTTGACGGTTTGTCAGAATCTAAACAAAAGGAGAAGGAGGTGAGGAGTGTTGTGTTCTTATTTACAGAGCCTGTGCTGTGCCAAACGTAAGGCATACGAGCCATGTGGCCCATCAGGTCGGAGCTTATCCCGTTTTCTGTGGCATGAAGTGACCAAAAATACTTCTTCTCCCCCCTGGATGGGCTGCTATTCCATCGCAGGGTTACCCCCAGCATTAAGTTCATTAGCACCCATTTATACACCTGCGTGGAGAGAGGCACTGCGAGAGGTAAAGTGTCTTGCCCAAGAACACAACAAAATGTCCTCAGCCAGGGCTCGAACCTGGACCCCTGGATCCGGAGGCGAGCACACTAACCATAAAGCCACCGCGCCTTCCACATGTTTTAGAGTGGGGGAAAAATTGAGTGACAAAAGACATAAATTTGCTCACTGAGCCAAATTGCAACCTTTGTTGGAATATCTGAATAGGTATATGGTAAATATGACTGCAGATTGAAGCATCTTAAAAACGATTTTAAAATCTTTATTATTGCTCAACATTTTTTATCTACAAGAACATTATTTCAAGATTAAAAACCATGATTTGTAACTGCCATAGTGCAATATTTTTTTCTGTAGCTTTTATATCATCTTAATTTCTCAGGGAAAAAGCACATAATTTGCATCAGATGCACAGGAAATTTGAATGCAACACAAGAAACCAAGATCTACATCATCCAGGTCTAATGTGATAACCAAGATGCCACCACGCCTCACTTAAGCACAACTGAAAGGTCTTCTAATTACAGTCTACATTGTCCAAAAAAATTACTAATTCTCTGACATGCAGTGCAAATGAAAAAAACATCACGGCTTTGATTTCAGGTTGACATGTTCAATACCAATCTCCAAGTTGCCTTTTGCCTTGTCCTTGTGTGCAAAACCTCATGTGAAAATGAGTTTGGTTTGCATGAAAATGAACCTAAAGGTGAAACACCTTTTCATATAGTTTTGACACAGGGACAAGAGACAAATTAGAGAAATGGCCTAGTTGTGGCTAGGCAGATACTCCATTATTTTCCTGATAATATGAAAGTTTCTTACCTGATTCTGAATCCAGTTGAAGTAATCAGCTCTAATGTCAATGGTTGCTTGAATCTCAGGAATGTAAAATTGATTAAATGGTACAATGTCACCAGACTCTGTATTAACCTAATGAACAGGTACACATGTAAGGAGGAATTTAAGTCTTATTCAAGCTTACATGTAATACAGTATATTAACTATTTTTTATCCATGCTTTATAAATCAACAATGTGAAATCACCAAATAATACTTTTTTAGAGAGTGTGTATCACTTTGAGAGTGGTTTCCCTTGTTTCAACTCTTTTGTAAACATTCTGACACTTGTAGACATACTGCATAGACCTGGATAATGCCAAGATTTAAGAGTAGTGTAAATGTTATGTTTTTATCAAAATTGCCCTGAGCCCTCAATTTGACTCCAGCCTAAGCAGAGAGAGAGGTTTGTGGCTCACTTACCATATTTAGCTGCTCTAAAACACTTAAACATGAAGCAAGGGCTGCTTGTCGTCTTATGGCCTGGAAAAGAAACAATGAAAATGGAAACATTTCTACAAGATATACATGTAGGTTTGTTCACAGGCAACTGAATGAGACTGAATAGATGGCGAGAAAGTTTACTTCCGCAGACCTTGGTCAAGATTCTACTTCCCCCCTGCTAATAAGAACTTATAAAATAACACAGCAGTGTTAAATGGTAGATTTACGTAATATATACTTACTTCTTCGCCAATAAACTTTGGAGGTGGGAAATGCAGTAAATACTTTATACAATCTTGAAACATCTAGCCACACACAAAAAATGGCAACTGTTAGCATTGATAAAAGAGACTTATGGAGGTAACTGCTCATGCATGTATTACAGCTGTCAACAGCCACGAAATGAAAATAATTGTCCAGAAATACACACATTACATGCAGCATTCTGTAACTTTTAATTGAAAATATTATTTTCCGAAGAAAAACAGGGTGTCGTAACTAAAACAATTATGGCCTTCATCTCAAGAGATTGCCTTCATGTGCAGTATAACAGTAAATATGGGACATCATTCAATGAATTCAAACATGAAATAAGCTGACTCCAGACTCACTGTACTCCAATAACAAAGTAGGGCAGTTGAAAGGCATACCTTCATTGTATGAGAAAAATATGTTGAGGGTAATTTTGACCACCAGCGTCCTAAAAGAAATGAAATGAAACTAGAATCAGTGACAAATACAGAAACAACATGGAGAGGTGGAAAAATAACATCAAATGATCAAAAAGATAAGAGTTCCAACTCAGGTAAATGTCCTTTTATGACATTGTATGATGAGAGAAACCACACACTTAAAACTTTACACACTTTATTTCAATTGCATTTAAAAACTTAATACAGATTTAAAACTGATCCACTGGTACCATTGGCTAATTTAGGCAGACCAGTTAAGTTAGGTAACAAAATTATGCATACCAAGCAACTAGAGAGACAAAGAAAGTAAAGAAAATATTACAAAAATTAGTCCTAATTAAACCACCTCTGACTGAAGGTTAGTGACCTCTTGATCATACATGTATACATGTAAGGAAGTGAAGGAGGAAAGTGGGATAGCCCAGGGAACAAGTGGAACCGATCTGTGCTAAAGGAGTTGCAACGAGTTGGCTAGTCATAGGTGACGGCCAAAGCATTAGCAAAGAACTGTGTGTGTTGGAGGGTACTGTTTGATGCTCTATACTCCTCATGGGGCATACAGGAATAATGATGATGATGATGAGCATCATATGACTGGCTTATAATTTTAGAGAAATTTGTATACCTCTATCACTAACACATTGTCAGATAAAAGCAACAGCACTATTAAATGCTATCATTTTGTGTGCAAAGACTTACTTAAGACTTTGCCAGCATCGACCGATAATCTCAAGATTGCTTCACTAAATGGAATGACAATGGCGTCATAATGTTCTTCCTTTTGATAAACAGAACACTCAGGAAGAAGTAAGTACACTCTGAGAGCTTCAATATCAGGAGGCGATTGCAGTAGGGAATGAACGACACCTCTTGTAATAGCAGCAAACATCTGAAAAGATAAGAAAGAAACGAATATTAGCAATAACTTCAATACGCGAAATTATGTAACTGTACATTTTGGTTTGCTTACATGTATATCTGAGCTGCACTGTAGGCAACAAAAGCACAGAAGTTTAAGGTTCCTAAAGAAGACAATATATTATTAAACCCCACAATGTCAACTTCCAGAAATTATTACACAACTATTAGTTAGTCCCAAGGGCCAATAACTAAAATCAACCATTGCTCCATTGGCAATCAAATATTTTCCCAACAATGTACTAAGCATGTTAAGGGTTTCATTAAATGTTTTCAGCAGGAGGGAAACTGGGGTTCACAGGTGGGTAAAACTTTATGACCTGAACATTTTTTATAGAAAAACTTTCCTCTAGATGGTCAAACCAGGTGGGCAAAATCATCCTCACAGCCAGTCAATTTGCCTGGTGCTCAGCCTTTATGGAACCCCTGGAGCATTGTCCTGAATAATTCTGTGCAGTTTTCTCATAGTCTTACAGCTTACTTTTTAAAAATAAATAATTAACACGCAGACTTAAATTTGGGTTAAAAAATCACATCAAAATTGGTAAGCCCTTCAACTGAATGACAGCTCTTTAGCTTCATGATGACAAGAACAAACCTTGCTAATTACTTCCTGGTGTCGTATACAATTAAGCAAACCAAAGGATCTTCTTGCTGCAGATAGATGAATACCATGAATTCTAGAACTTGTTTGTTCATGGTTCCGTCTGAAAGATTCAATAGAGAAATGATAATCATATGACAACTTTAGGTCAAAGCCTCAAACCNAATTAATCTGCTGCACAAAAGGTCTCTTTTAATCTCTTATTTTCTGATTTTTACTGGTGCCTCTCCCAGAAAATGGCTGTGAAAGGTGTGAAAGCACCTTTTTTCTGTCGTATTTCTCAGCCCTACATGGCTAATTTTTTCCTCGGGCCTTATTTTGCTGAAGATTCGGGAATTGGGATCTGTAGTATACAGAAAAGAATGCAAATTGCACTGTGCTCAACAAGGCTTGGAATTGGTTACGTTTTCAGAGTCCCAGCAGCACCCCCACCCAAAAATCTACTGTGTACTCCCCTCTGGGGGAAGCAATTAAGGAGCCAATCATGTCAGGAATAATAACTTGATCCAAAACTAAATTCCTCTGAGATGAATTGTAGGGAATGAGTGAACACTATTAAAGAGAATCTGTACCTTGAGAGGCTTTTTCAAGTCACAAGGACCACACTTCATGATCTGATTCAGGGTGTTGTCCACGATGTTCTCTCTCTTGACCACAATGACAAGTACAGGGTTGTCCGGGTTTATTGGCAACAGGGACATCATTGATTGAACATTGCGGCGATTCACTTCCTCTACAGCACTCTACAGAAACAGAAAACAAACCATACACTGAGACTTTTGTAAAATATAACAAGAGTGTATATTTTACACAAAATGAATGGAGGAACCCCGCCCTACGGTCGCCTCATTATTACGGTCACTTTTTTTGTCCCAGCAAAACGTCCATACATTCTCTTATAAAAAAACCCCGTTAGTGCGGCCTATGGCTACATTCCGAAATCTCAACCATGTATAATCCTTTATAATTTAATCCCGTTTCTACAGCCACTCAAACCAGTTATGTTCATCTTTCCATTGTAATATTGTATGTACTGATTCGAGTTTCATTTTTTTTTTTTTGAAATTCTATCTGTATTCCAGATGCTTATTAAAGAAGAGTTGCTTGGAAGTGCAATTTTGATGTATCTGTTAAGACGTCACTCAATGAGGTTTGACCCTACCCCGTTAGTACGGCCACCCGGTTAATATGGCCAATTGTCATGGCCCTTTGGTGACCGTATTCACGGGGTTCTATTGTATATGAAAGATCATATATTTGAATTGTGGAATAAAAATTTGGAGACATCAAAGATCACCGCAGGCTTGAACACAACTTAAACAGTCGCGAAAAGAAGAACTGAGCAAGATTCAAGCTTGAACGGGATTGAACTACCAACAATGATACCAGTGCAGTGCTCTACCAACTGAGCTATCATATTGAGCTGGTCGTGTTGCGAGTTCGTAACAAATCGTTATCGATGGAAAAATTGATAAAAACTAATTACAATTTGCCCTTCCTTCAACAGTTCACTCAGTACCTTCACCCTGCTGTTCTTGAATCATTTTGTGTAGTTGTAAGTGAAGGTACTCTGACACTATTTTAGCACCGTTTTGACCAAACTGCAGTAAAATTGCTGTTAGTAATAGTGTCGCGGCTTACCATTTGACTATTGGCTTACCTGCATCTGCATTACAGCATCTGTTTGAAGCAGCGTTGTTTTGGCTTCAGCGTCAAAAACAAATGGGTAGCGACAAAATGAAAATGTTTGCTACAAGAGACAACGACAAAGCAGTGTTATTCATCTCACTTTTTATTTCAGCTTGATATCAGGTTTGGTGGAGTAACTAAGAAGGACAACTAACAGTCATTTCCAAACAGAAAAATCAATTTCCAGTTTGACTTTACGTCTGAGGGCCGGAAAGCCTTGAAAGTAAACTGCTGCGGTTTCATCTCCTCAGCTACTTGATCCGGCCAATGAATAAGCTACTGAAAACACTTCTTGCAAAAAATTTCGAACGTTTATTTCTCGGACACTTTTGATCTCATTTCAGACAGATTTCGAACAAACATTTCGGACACTTTGTTGAAACATAGCTGAAGTAAATTTATGCAAACAAAACACGTCTTTTGCTGCACCCTCAAGGTTTTACAGATTCATGCACACTGACAGGAAAATAACCCAAATTCTTGTACTAAGCCGTTACATATCTCAAGTGGTGTGTCAACTAGAGTTCAATTCGCTCCATAATGGAAACTAAGAGTTTTGGAGCAACTTAAAAATTTTATGCTGTACTGTAATATTTCGAACCCTTAAAGCTTCGAACTCTTAAATATTTCGGACGGTTTTATTTTCGGGCACTTTTTGAGTCCAAAATTAAAATCGTCCGAAAATTTTTTTACAAGTAAACTGTAGACTGGGTGTTATGTTGTAGCACGTGTCTGGCGTTCTAGGATTTAGTAATCCAACAAAGAAATGTAATAGGATAAAATGATTTGTAACAGAGATTGATTTGACGTGAAGGGAAGCAAATGGGAGACTCTCCACCCAACCCACTCTGTCACATTCAAACCCACAATGTTGAGCAAACAAGCTTTTGATAATCAAAGGCCTACCACTTGATAGACGTGGCGCCAAAAATCTTGACGGTTTGTCAGAATCTAAACAAAAGGAGAAGGAGGTGAGGAGTGTTGTGTTCTTATTTACAGAGCCTGTGCTGTGCCAAACGTAAGGCATACGAGCCATGTGGCCCATCAGGTCGGAGCTTATCCCGTTTTCTGTGGCATGAAGTGACCAAAAATACTTCTTCTCCCCCCTGGATGGGCTGCTATTCCATCGCAGGGTTACCCCCAGCATTAAGTTCATTAGCACCCATTTATACACCTGCGTGGAGAGAGGCACTGCGAGAGGTAAAGTGTCTTGCCCAAGAACACAACAAAATGTCCTCAGCCAGGGCTCGAACCTGGACCCCTGGATCCGGAGGCGAGCACACTAACCATAAAGCCACCGCGCCTTCCACATGTTTTAGAGTGGGGGAAAAATTGAGTGACAAAAGACATAAATTTGCTCACTGAGCCAAATTGCAACCTTTGTTGGAATATCTGAATAGGTATATGGTAAATATGACTGCAGATTGAAGCATCTTAAAAACGATTTTAAAATCTTTATTATTGCTCAACATTTTTTATCTACAAGAACATTATTTCAAGATTAAAAACCATGATTTGTAACTGCCATAGTGCAATATTTTTTTCTGTAGCTTTTATATCATCTTAATTTCTCAGGGAAAAAGCACATAATTTGCATCAGATGCACAGGAAATTTGAATGCAACACAAGAAACCAAGATCTACATCATCCAGGTCTAATGTGATAACCAAGATGCCACCACGCCTCACTTAAGCACAACTGAAAGGTCTTCTAATTACAGTCTACATTGTCCAAAAAAATTACTAATTCTCTGACATGCAGTGCAAATGAAAAAAACATCACGGCTTTGATTTCAGGTTGACATGTTCAATACCAATCTCCAAGTTGCCTTTTGCCTTGTCCTTGTGTGCAAAACCTCATGTGAAAATGAGTTTGGTTTGCATGAAAATGAACCTAAAGGTGAAACACCTTTTCATATAGTTTTGACACAGGGACAAGAGACAAATTAGAGAAATGGCCTAGTTGTGGCTAGGCAGATACTCCATTATTTTCCTGATAATATGAAAGTTTCTTACCTGATTCTGAATCCAGTTGAAGTAATCAGCTCTAATGTCAATGGTTGCTTGAATCTCAGGAATGTAAAATTGATTAAATGGTACAATGTCACCAGACTCTGTATTAACCTAATGAACAGGTACACATGTAAGGAGGAATTTAAGTCTTATTCAAGCTTACATGTAATACAGTATATTAACTATTTTTTATCCATGCTTTATAAATCAACAATGTGAAATCACCAAATAATACTTTTTTAGAGAGTGTGTATCACTTTGAGAGTGGTTTCCCTTGTTTCAACTCTTTTGTAAACATTCTGACACTTGTAGACATACTGCATAGACCTGGATAATGCCAAGATTTAAGAGTAGTGTAAATGTTATGTTTTTATCAAAATTGCCCTGAGCCCTCAATTTGACTCCAGCCTAAGCAGAGAGAGAGGTTTGTGGCTCACTTACCATATTTAGCTGCTCTAAAACACTTAAACATGAAGCAAGGGCTGCTTGTCGTCTTATGGCCTGGAAAAGAAACAATGAAAATGGAAACATTTCTACAAGATATACATGTAGGTTTGTTCACAGGCAACTGAATGAGACTGAATAGATGGCGAGAAAGTTTACTTCCGCAGACCTTGGTCAAGATTCTACTTCCCCCCTGCTAATAAGAACTTATAAAATAACACAGCAGTGTTAAATGGTAGATTTACGTAATATATACTTACTTCTTCGCCAATAAACTTTGGAGGTGGGAAATGCAGTAAATACTTTATACAATCTTGAAACATCTAGCCACACACAAAAAATGGCAACTGTTAGCATTGATAAAAGAGACTTATGGAGGTAACTGCTCATGCATGTATTACAGCTGTCAACAGCCACGAAATGAAAATAATTGTCCAGAAATACACACATTACATGCAGCATTCTGTAACTTTTAATTGAAAATATTATTTTCCGAAGAAAAACAGGGTGTCGTAACTAAAACAATTATGGCCTTCATCTCAAGAGATTGCCTTCATGTGCAGTATAACAGTAAATATGGGACATCATTCAATGAATTCAAACATGAAATAAGCTGACTCCAGACTCACTGTACTCCAATAACAAAGTAGGGCAGTTGAAAGGCATACCTTCATTGTATGAGAAAAATATGTTGAGGGTAATTTTGACCACCAGCGTCCTAAAAGAAATGAAATGAAACTAGAATCAGTGACAAATACAGAAACAACATGGAGAGGTGGAAAAATAACATCAAATGATCAAAAAGATAAGAGTTCCAACTCAGGTAAATGTCCTTTTATGACATTGTATGATGAGAGAAACCACACACTTAAAACTTTACACACTTTATTTCAATTGCATTTAAAAACTTAATACAGATTTAAAACTGATCCACTGGTACCATTGGCTAATTTAGGCGGACCAGTTAAGTTAGGTAACAAAATTGTGCATACCAAGCAACTAGAGAGACAAAGAAAGTAAAGAAAATATTACAAAAATTAGTCCTAATTAAACCACCTCTGACTGAAGGTTAGTGACCTCTTGATCATACATGTATACATGTAAGGAAGTGAAGGAGGAAAGTGGGATAGCCCAGGGAACAAGTGGAACCGATCTGTGCTAAAGGAGTTGCAACGAGTTGGCTAGTCATAGGTGACGGCCAAAGCATTAGCAAAGAACTGTGTGTGTTGGAGGGTACTGTTTGATGCTCTATACTCCTCATGGGGCATACAGGAATAATGATGATGATGATGAGCATCATATGACTGGCTTATAATTTTAGAGAAATTTGTATACCTCTATCACTAACACATTGTCAGATAAAAGCAACAGCACTATTAAATGCTATCATTTTGTGTGCAAAGACTTACTTAAGACTTTGCCAGCATCGACCGATAATCTCAAGATTGCTTCACTAAATGGAATGACAATGGCGTCATAATGTTCTTCCTTTTGATAAACAGAACACTCAGGAAGAAGTAAGTACACTCTGAGAGCTTCAATATCAGGAGGCGATTGCAGTAGGGAATGAACGACACCTCTTGTAATAGCAGCAAACATCTGAAAAGATAAGAAAGAAACGAATATTAGCAATAACTTCAATACGCGAAATTATGTAACTGTACATTTTGGTTTGCTTACATGTATATCTGAGCTGCACTGTAGGCAACAAAAGCACAGAAGTTTAAGGTTCCTAAAGAAGACAATATATTATTAAACCCCACAATGTCAACTTCCAGAAATTATTACACAACTATTAGTTAGTCCCAAGGGCCAATAACTAAAATCAACCATTGCTCCATTGGCAATCAAATATTTTCCCAACAATGTACTAAGCATGTTAAGGGTTTCATTAAATGTTTTCAGCAGGAGGGAAACTGGGGTTCACAGGTGGGTAAAACTTTATGACCTGAACATTTTTTATAGAAAAACTTTCCTCTAGATGGTCAAACCAGGTGGGCAAAATCATCCTCACAGCCAGTCAATTTGCCTGGTGCTCAGCCTTTATGGAACCCCTGGAGCATTGTCCTGAATAATTCTGTGCAGTTTTCTCATAGTCTTACAGCTTACTTTTTAAAAATAAATAATTAACACGCAGACTTAAATTTGGGTTAAAAAATCACATCAAAATTGGTAAGCCCTTCAACTGAATGACAGCTCTTTAGCTTCATGATGACAAGAACAAACCTTGCTAATTACTTCCTGGTGTCGTATACAATTAAGCAAACCAAAGGATCTTCTTGCTGCAGATAGATGAATACCATGAATTCTAGAACTTGTTTGTTCATGGTTCCGTCTGAAAGATTCAATAGAGAAATGATAATCATATGACAACTTTAGGTCAAAGCCTCAAACCTTGTAAAGAAGTTAATAATAAGTACCTCACATAAGATCATAATTATAACACTAAAAATAACTAAATCTACTTCCCTCAAGCATTTGGCACAAACAAATGGAGCACATCATTGATAAACAGTATTCTCTCTGCAGTCTCACATGTGGAGGCATAGTAGCTTAAGTAATGGTTAGCACGCCGAAATCCAGTTCGAGTGGACCGGGTTTGCGCCCTGGCTGGGGTAATTGTGTTGCGCTCTTGAGCAAGACACTTTACTCCCAAAGTGCCTCTGTCCATGCAAGTGTATAAATGGGTACAGGCAAACTTGATACCAGAGATACCTATCCATCCAGGGGGAGTAGAAACACTCCTCTAGTCACTTAATGTTACAGAGACCGCAATGCATGTAAGCTTCCTTTGTAAGGGCTACTTGGCCTACCACAGACCTAACCTTTTTTATTCAAGCTGCCAGGCAAGTGGAATTGGCTTGTAGTATCAGCAAGCAGTTAGTAAAAACATTTAGGGTGTCACATCATGGTCTTCTGTGCACATAGAGTAAGAAAAGTACACTACACTGTATTTAATTAGTATACATTTATTTACATAGAAGACCTGCAGTTCTGTACCTGTCCAAAAATGATCCATTCAGACAAGCTTTAGATGAGAAGACCGTCTCTAACGTACTGTATAAAACGAGATAAAAATAACAAACCATATTTGAATAAAGATCCTGTAAGGCTGCTGCTAAAGTTAATTTTGTTCTTTCTTTTCACATCTCTTTCAATGTACAATCATGTCATGAAAATCCATGCACCTCTCTAAAACCTGTTTCACACACTCCTATTGTTTTAAGGGTTAGGTTCTGTCATTGTTTCTGTTGTTTGGTCTATTGTTTTCTCGGCCAATCATGTTAACCTTCTGCAGGTGCATGATGCCTCCATGTTATCCATGGTATTGAAACAAGAAATGGCATACTAGGTCAGTCACTTATTACTCCTTGGGAGAAATAAACAACATGACAAATGGGCAATCTGCTCCAGATACATGTAATATGAATTTTATCCAAATTTCTCACACTTGTTAATAATTCATCAACTTAAAACAAAGAAAATCATGACCATGACGTTTGGAAATGTGAATTTAATTAGCATGTAGACTTTTATGATGCTCTTCCTCCATTTTCTCCTTAGTTTTATTTGCGATTGGGAAGAAATATCAAGCACTCAAGACAGTGTTTGACCACCTTTACAAACACCTCGAAGTTTGTTAAAAAATACTCCACTAGGCGTCCTATTTTCATCTCTCCTCTCGGTGTTTGGAAATTTGGTCAAACACAGTCTTTGGTGTTTGATATATTGCATTTAGTACTTAATATATAACTCACTAAAAAATCTCCGTAGGTGGATTGGGTAGCGACAACTGCTGAACCAATTTCTTGACGCTGGACTCAGACAAAGTCCACAGATGCTTAGAAGTGTCTTGCTCTCGCAGATCGCAGGAGTTATCATTCTGATTAAGAAAATTGTTTGCAATACATGTAAGTAAAACTTAATTAAGAGCTAGCAGATTCAGCCTGAAGGCTTTCTCAGCTTAAGAAAATAGCCCAAAGAAAATACATGCACTAATTGGTTAAAAATTGCACTTCTATGACTTTCTTGTTCTCCCAAACTTCCTCTTGTATTTCTATAACTCAAAAGAAACATTTTTTCTATTTCTTAAACAATGCAACAATGAATCTCAGACATAGTTACATGTACACAGAACTCTGTACCAAGTAACATCAACATTCCAAACATCTCTTACTAAGAGACAGGAGGAACTGAACACTTGACTTGGTGTATTCAGTCATCGACACAAGTTGTGTGTTTTATTACTCACATTTTTCATTGTGACGACATAGCAGTGATCGCCACCTGTAGCAATTCTTTGGACACTGCAGTGACTCACTTTGTCATTAGACACCCAACTGTTCTCGACGACAACAGGGCTGTTAACGGTCACGACCTTGTTATTACCCAGCTGGCCATTCTCTCCTGAACCAAAGGCATACAGCTTTTCTGACGATGCTACATAAGCCAAGGTATGCAGCCTGCAATCATGGATGATAGAACACATTCATTTACCTCCACTTAGGATCAAGATTCACTGCTGAAAATATAGCTTAAATAACACACTGGACTCTCCCATATGTAAACAACCATTGGATCAGAGAAAGTGTCCTCTGAGAGAGGGGTCTATTGTAAAATTTACCAGTTGTGTTTATATGTGACTGAGACCATGACTAAGATTCAACATATGGTGGGAGGGGGGAGGGGAAGGGGGGAGTGATATAAAGCTCAATAGCAAAGGTTCAACTGCCGTGAGCATCTAGACTATAACTGGAGTATGCTAGTACCCTGCCCAACATAGCTTATAATGTATAACTTGCTTGAAAACATCTGCTCAAGGCATTTAGATGCTACTACTAATCAATCAAGCATACTCGCACACATTTAATGACTTTCTTGAATTTGCCACACTGTTCTATTATTGTAAGTACAGGATTCTTGTTATTAAACCAGTATCACCTTCCAACAGATCCAGGACAGTCATTAGTTTTGATTCACCTGTAACCTTGATCTTCACTCCCATAACAAACTTGTTACTTCTTGGGTGAATTTGGGTGAACAGGCAAGTTCACAGTAACATCAAGGACCCATCAAACAAACTCAGCCATAAAAGGTGTTGACAGTTATGGCCCTTATTGAAAACCCTGAGATCTATGCACTGTTTGTTGCTGGGCGACACCATTACATCTTCAGAAAATACCATAATTTTATGACAGCTTTAGATGCCACCACATAATTAAAAGCAACGTTCCAACTATCGTACCTTCCACAAGCAATTTGAGTCACAACTTTTCCCATTAATTCAAAGACCTGAATAAAAGTAACCAAAAACACATACATGGCTGTCAAAAGGATTTGTAAAAAATATTTCAAGTGCAAACTGAATGTTTGTAATCATTGATCTAACATGACATGTAATACCTTTCGTGGGTTGTATTCATCATTATTTGAGTTATGTCCAAGCTGTCCATAACTGCCGCAGCCAAATGTAAACACTCCACCATCCTATAATAATGATTACAATTATATGTGATTCCAAGACATTTAACAGTTGTTTGAGATTTAACAAATTGACGTCAGCTTTTATGTGTCTGTCCTCTTATTGATGATAAATTGTGTCATAACATTGTCAAAGTGGCTGTGGAATCATGAGCCGCAGGTGAGTGGTTCCACAGTAAACTTTGACAATGTTATAACAAAATATTAAACTATGATACTGAACTATAAAAATAAGCAAGCACACCTCTGTCAGGACAGCTGAGTGATATTCTCCTGCTGAGACATGTCTGACTCGCTGCGATCTTAATGACTTGACAAGTACAGGCATAAAACGATCTGGAACAATTAAAAATTACCGACATGTCAGTTCTGGGCTTTGATCGCTCACATACTAACCCTAACCCTAAGTTCAACAGAAACAAGAAGATTCACCAGACACGAGAAAGGATGATAATTTTTGATTAATAATAATTTATTTAAAAAACTGTCTGTTTTAAAGAGAAATTATCAAGACAAGCTCTACATCCAAAGAGCAAGAAGAAATGATAATTTCACTAATCAGCACTGCTGTATGTGAAATATACATAATTTTTAACAACAATAATAGCAAAAGTTTATTTGCACCTACAGGAAGAAAATACTATGATTATCAGTTGAGTAAGGCACAAGGGAAGTTTGGTTACAAAATTTTGGCCTTAAAATTATGGTGTTGTCACGGGCAACTTACCTTGTTTCCATTGGTAACAATATCAACAGCCATTGGTCGCCTGTCGCGTCGCCTACAATTTCGCGTGCTTTGCTGCTAATGATGTCAAAGGCCGACAAGTTGCCAATGGATACGGAGCCAGTAGCTCGTGACAACAACATGATTTTTACGTTAAAACTTGGTGACCAAACTTTCGTCCCGCCTTACTTAACTGATAATCGTAGTAAACTGTTTTACAAAATGCAGGGCTTTTAGCGATGAATGTTTTCAACAGAAGGGCAACCGGGTTTCACAGGCAGGCAAAACCTTTTGAACTGAACTTCTTTATAGGAAAAACTTTTCTCTAGATGGTCAAACCAGGCAGGCAAAATCTTACTCACAGCCGGTCAATTTGCCCAGTGCCAGGCACTTAATGAAACTCCTGCAAAACATATGACCTATAAATTATACTTAAGGTTGGTGACAGGGTAAATGAAAAAGAGCTAACATAGGTCATGTGTGGAGCTAACATAGGTCATCTGTTCATTGCTTATACAACTAGTGAATGGAATCTGATAGCACAGTACAATACAATGATAACGCCAAGTTGTTCTGTTAACCTTGTCCACTGCCACTTGACAATGTATGGATAAATAAGTAAAGTTAATATCAGATATTGATTACCCTCAGTGTCATTCAAACTGACCTTTGTTGTCATTGACTCCAAGTTGACCAAAGCTGCAACAGAAAATTGTACAGTTTTAACTCCATGATATTCACCCAAGAGAGCAGGGGGGGCTTTCCATTTGACCAAAACTTCTGGTTTGAAATTCAAGGATGTCTTTTACAAAATTTCCAAAGGGCCATGAACATGTGACCATATTAACAAGGTAGGGCCAAATTTCATGACTTTGGTCTATTAAGTGATGTTTTGATATATCAAAATTGCACTTCTAAGGATGTTACAGGATGGAATTTCAGAATGTGGCCATTGGCCGTATTAA